GAAACTTTTCGAAATACAGTGAAGCTTAAAGGAAAAGTCCTGGTCTAGACTGTCAACCATGTTTAGGGTTCCCAACCATACCTTATAAAACAGGATCTTACCATATTTGAAAACAAAAAGACGTCCCATAATGAACTAAAATGGGACACTCCTTTTCCTGTATTTCCTGACAGCGTCTCTCTGCCTAACACACTGTCACAGGCTCACATCAGCAGCTTGGCAGCTGAGCTATGGGACGAGTTACAAAACACAGCAGACTTTCAGTTTTACACAGCTCTGGACACAAAGTACTTACTAAAACAAAGAGGGGTGTGTGATTATGTCCTCTCTGGTTCCATAGGCAGTTTTAGGATTTGCCAACAGGGGGTGCAACTTGCCAGAGAAGTTAGTCTTTGTTTTTTGGTTTGTTTTTTGACCCACCCTAAATCCCCACATTTTTCGGCCCGGCCTGAAAAAAGGGACACCAAAAACTTTTCAGATTAACTGTCTCTTATTTCAATCTCTTGGAGTTGGTAACCCTAATCATGTTTGCCACTACAAGTTTGATGCATCAGGTTTGAATGATTTCATTTACCACTGAGAAGGAGAGCAGTTAAGGGAAAATGCAGCAGGTAGGTACTGGATTTGAAACCTGCCACAGAGTGAAGAGGCCTTGGTTCACCCTAAAGGGATTAATATATTTTTAAAAAATCCTTAACACAGTTGGTAATATGTGATACTAAAACATGAAAAGGACCAATGATTCATCATCATCATCATCAGTAAAGGGGGTCAAAATACACTTTACACTAGTAAAACACAAAGGTTTTGCATAATCATTCTAATTTTAGGCCTGATTTCCCCCTTCTAACAAAAGTCAGCAAAAGCCCAATTACCGGATTATTCTTTTGGTTATCGCCCCTAATTTTCCTGTTGTGTGAGATGTGCCACAGTTTTTGTGAAAGTGTATCTGTCTTCTGCTAACTTGGTAGAAAAGACCACATATGTCAACAGAGCTGTCACTAAATTTTCTTTGTAAAATCAAATTACCGATAAAATCCAAACCTCTCCAAGAGAACTTGAAGTGAATCAGCATGACTCATGTGCTTCCGGCAAGGTGGGGCGACCTGCCTCCAACAGTGTGTGAAGTGACACCAACTGCCGAGCAGGGCAACCATGGACAAAATATACATATACATCCAAATACACGTAACGCTGCTTCTTTCCTCAACTGATCGACCACAATAGCGGTAGCGGGGCCAAAACAACAAGTTCTGCCCTAAGCTGGCTTCCAGAAAGTAGGCTTGTATAGGGGAGCCTTAAAGAGACAGCAGCTAAAACGAAGCGTTTCAGGCAGAGCCCAAAATAATGATATTCTAATACACCACTGTGAGAAATGTAAGGCTTTTTTAAAATCTGAAAATCCCATAAATCTATAAAGAGGGATCAGAAAGGAAATATAGAGTGTGAAAAAATGCATGATACCTCCGCACCTTTAATGTTCTTGCTACTACTACTACTATGAATAAATCTATTTTTCTGTATCAACAGCACACATGGTTTTTACACATACATTTACAAGGTGTGTGTATTTTGAAAAACTGTCTGCAACACTCCTCCCTGGATATCTTCTATCCCAGTAGAATTTGTTGGCAGGAGAAAAACGTAAACTTTCAAAGCTTGACTCCCACATGACGGGGGACGATTTATTCTCTTTGTGTGCTCAGCCAGACGGATACATGGAGGGAAGGGTATCTGTGAGTCTTCAAGGGAGAGGGATTCCTTTTGTGACTTTATCATAGATTTACCAATATATGTGATGCCATGCTCCGGAGGTAGTGCATTTGTACTGTTTGTTTTTATCTCTCTTTCAGACGAAGCATCTTTGTTCTACAGAGGAAGGGCAGATGGATTGATCTGCAGAGAGAGAGAGCGAAAAGAAGGAACTCGATGCAAAGTCCCACAGCTGTTGGAGAAAAAGATCTTTTCCTTCCATGAATAGAAGACGATAAAGATGTGAGAAGGTTGTTAAAAGAAGGGAATTTCTGTGACACAATGCTCTTATACATTCTGTGAAGCACATGGCATTGACAGTTGAGATATATAGATATATAGTGTCCTACGACAGAGCTTTCTGCTAGATATTTTCACATACAAGAAGTTATCAAGCTGTGATCAAAGAATTTACGCCTTTCAGAGGTGGAATTGTGACATTTTGAGTTTCCTTCAAAGACTCTAAATACTGCTGAGACCCAGCCTACACCTAGTCTTGAGTCTGCGGGTACAAATGCATTTTTTGGAGCGACATTCAAGTCAGAGTCTTACTTGATATTCTGGTGGGGTTACCAAAACATTTTATCAGCCGCTAAACTCTAAACTGCTTTCATAGGATGGGAATGCAGCCGCACAAAAAGTCATTTCACTTCGATGTCCTTCTGGCACTCACTTTACTTTTTCAACACTTTTTATAGATGAGTTTCAGGACATCAACATACCTCGTCAAGAAGTGGTTTTGGGGGGGACTGTTACGAAACTGGAAAATCGCACATGAATGCTTTCATGTAAAGTCCACATTTTTACACCCAAAGGAGGGTCTAAAAGGAGGACCCCGAGCATATGGCACAGAGTGAATTAGGGTGTGTTGGTCATATTTACCTATTTAAAGGGCGAATAATCTGGATGCAAAGTGAGGCACATAGCGAGAAGAGGTTAGATTGAGCCCCTTGATTGTTCATGCGTGTGTTTTGGCTGTATCATAAATCAGACCGATCAGTGTTTGCTCCCGTTCTCTTTAAGGGTCAGACGCACTTGCAGACAGACTCCTAATTATTAACACAGTGAATTTTAGACTCCCTACTGGGACACCTTAAAATTAGAGTAATCCAACATAATCAGACAGGATTTAAAGATTGTGATTGTTGTGTGTGCTTTACGTCTTTTATCTATTGCTGGATCTATTGCTTCATTTTGTCTCTAAAATATTAGGGAACATTGTGGTCAGCATAACCACTAGTTATGTTGCACTGACAGCCTCTGCCCCAACATCTCATCCATCAGAACAAACTAAAGCCAAGTGGCAGCGGTGACCTTCCCACCCACCCTGACACTAAGAGAGGATCTTTGCATTCCTGAGAAACAGAAAAATTTGTAATAACTTACAGGGAGAGTAACCAACACATTCTTCATGACACAATGTTCAGAGGCATTATAAAAACCTTCATACACTTAGTAGTTTCTCTTTACGTTGTCCCACTTCCTCTTTGCTTGCTGGGGCGTGATTCTGTCCATCAACTGGAGCCCCGTCAGGATTGCTCTTGTCACAGAGAGAAGCGAGACAAACGGTCAATATAATGTCACTTATTATTCTCACATATTACTTATGTAAATGTGACTTATTCCAAGCATTTAACTGGATCGATAAGAATGCAGGCACACAATGCCAAAGCCAACAGATTTTGAGTCCATACATGCATGTCAGATAAATTGTCCATCATCTACTTTATGAAAAGGTTTGACCTTTACTCCTTCTTTATAAGGGGCCAAAGCTGACTGCCAAGCCCCCTAGAAACCGTAAAGGTTTTTCTAAATAATAAGAACAACTACAACAACTTCATTTACCTATAGAGCACATATCCGAACGTGGTTACCAAGTGCTCTACATGGATGTACATACACACAAACAAACATAGGCTGCATATTAGATTTGGAAACAAAATTAAGTGTTTTTTTTTTTAACATATTTAAATTGTTCCCTGGGAATAACTTAAACTTTGGGGATTGGAGTGAATGTCGAGTATGAAAGCTACAATTTCCAACAGCCGGCACATGTGTTGCCTGCACAGCTTGGACTGAGCAAGTAGGCTGTTTGAACACATGGGTGTCACCTGCATTCACAATGGGCTTTTTTCAACTTTACCTCAAATCCAGTACTTAGATTTGAACACAAAATCGCTCAATGACGGTCTTGCCATGAGACGTACATTTTCGTTGCGCTCTTTAGCGAATCTGGCGTCCTACATGAAATGCGCACCTGTACAGCGGCACTCAAAGAATTCTGGGGATTCCAAGGCCATGCAGTGTGCATAGATGTGTAAGAGGCGGAGGCAGGTCAGTTCTGTATTTATTGAACCTTTATTTAACCAGGAATGTCCCATTGAGATTACAAACCTATTTTTTTTTAAAGGGAGTCCTGGCCAAGAGGAAGCAAGAAGTTACAAATCAACAATAACATACAAATTAGATACAGGTTAAAGAGGCTGTCTCAAGTGCTTTCAGTCTGGATTTACTGTCATTCAATGCGATAAGCTATGCTAGTTTCTAGTCATTTTGCAACAGGTTCCATGTAGAAGGGACAGAGAGGACAAAAACCCTTTTCCCCAGCTCAGTGCGGGCAAATGGAACAGTGAGCAACATAATATTGTTTGAACGCAAACCGTAAGAATCAACACTTCTCTGTGTGATTAAGTTACAAATGTGAGAGGGCAAAAGTCCAAGCATGGCCTTGTAAATACAAGTGTTCCAATGAACCAACCTCCTGTTGGACAAAGAAGGTCATTCCACACAAGAGTACAGACTCGCAAGTGTTATGGGACACCCTTGGCGCCACGTGATGCCCACTGCCCAGTGTGCGGAACCCTGAATTGGGACACAGCCTGGGTCTTGATCAGTGTCCCAAAAAGGAACATTTTTTCACTCTAAACAATTGTCTGTATGAACCTTGACTGACCTGGGGGACGTGATTCAGGTCAGAGGGCAGCAGTATAAGCATCAACCCAGACTTCTCTCTTCTTAGCAACACTTTCCAGCACCTCCCCCAGGATCTCAAGGTCTTCCCAGATATGTCATCAATGGTTACATGCTGATCTCAGCTAAAGCCACTGCTGTGACTCTGTGCCAAATCATTCTTTCACAGTATCCATACTGAATGATGGTAAATATTAGTTATATACCCAATTGATGATTTCTCTGCATCCAAACAGAATTTTATCTGAAAAACTCAATGTTTGACAGACTCTATCAGATCACCCACTGATAGGGACAGTGTGTATTTCTTCTTCCCTTGCCCTCTTGATAGCTGAGAGGATAGAGCTGTGCTGCTCTTGTATTTTGTCAGCGCTATCTGCATCAACATGGCCGCAGCTGTAGGAGAGCACTTTGAGATGTTGAATGTGAGGTTCTGTGTTTATGAGGAGAGGAGGGGGGATAATCCCTGTGGTACTCCATCCGCCAGCATGGAAGGATGGATCAACCAGCATGACACACATCATCTCCAGCTCTCTCCCTTTCTGTCTGTGTTTCCCATCAGCCACCATGTCTGATCTCCTCACTCTCTTCAAGGGTGAGAGGAGCAAACAGCTGTGTCTGTCATTACCTTGGCTGAGATTTAGTTTCTGGTGAAATGCTGAAGTAATCTACATCTTTACTAAAATTTAAACTTATTTCAGGAACATAAAAGAGATTAAGTTTAAAGGCTCATTCTTGACATTTACGTCCTTAGAGAATTAAATAGGTGATCTTCGCATCTTATCATAGTCAAATCAAACCCAGATTTAGGCTGAGATGGCTGAAGGTATATAATACCAATATCATAATGTTAAAAACAATAATTCTATTTCTTTTCAAAATTGACATATAATTAATGCATTATTTGAAATTCCTTCAAGCAACACTGATTTTTCTGATGTACAGGTATAACACATTCTATGAACTTTAACATACAGTCTATACGTCTGTGACTCTCAGCCCATTGTAACAGTCAAATACGTCAAATTCAACTCTCCATCTGTTCTCCTGGGGTCTCTGCTAACACCTAAAGCTGCTAACAACGTGGCAGATGGAAATGGCAAGCAGAAACAGACATCCTGGAGCAGAAGTAGAAAAAGAAATGGTTATTTCAATTGGCAAGTATTTTTTCAAGCAAATAATTGTGGGGAATGATCCTTTAAGGATATTATGGCGAAATTTCTGAGATTTGTAATGATTATTATACATTTGAATAACACAGCTCTATTTGTGTTAGTCAAGTATTAAAAAGTCAAGTATTAAAAATTTGACAAATAAACCTCTTATGTTCCATTTATAGCTTATTAAAATTGTGCGATTTGCGATCATACCCATGTTAATTGCAGACAATTGTGCGATTTGCCTTGGTTTTAACACATCGTATTAATACACACATTAATACATCGTATGATCAAGATGAGACTGTAACAACTCTTACATCACTTTGTTTAAAAGGTGTCATGGTGGGGATGAGTTGTCCTTCGTATTTTACTGATAAGGCAGTTAAATCATCTGTTCATCAAAAGGTTGGCAGATTTATTCGAACAGCTGAAATCCACGTTGAAGTATTCTTGAACATAACTTTGAAATTACTCCCCTGTGGCAAAGTCAGCAGCATACAAATTGTCATAAATGGGATTAGATAAAACTGATTGCAACTTCACATAGCCTACTCTGTTATCAGAGCTTGAATTTGCATGTGAATGGGTAAATATTGTGTCAGAGTGCTTAAGTGCAGTCCATTCACCATTTCATATGCATCTGGGTTTGGGTAAAGGTCCTGGCACATTTCCAACCCTCTAACACAAAATAAGACACATGTATATTTATCTATACAATATACATGCACCCCCTTCTCTCTATAGTTGGTAACATCCAAAAGTCATGGTCAGACTGGAGGGTAATCAGAGATGGAGGAGGTAGGAGCAAGTTGCCTAAACATTCAGGAGTTATGCATAGACATACTTCTGCACCAGCTAAAGAATATAAGCCTGCCTCTCTGGTCTGTGTAAGAAGAAGTTTGATATCATCTAAAAATGAAGCATTATATACCATCTGTTCATTTCTCACAATTGCCTTTGTATGCAGTAAAAACAGAAATTGTCTTAAATACACCTTGAATATAGAGACGCTTTTCAGATATTTAATACACAATGAAGTAATTCCCAAGTTTACATCTGACATAAATTTAACAAGTGCTGCAAACAGAATAATTTTTACACAGAATGAGCAGAGAGGGACCTTCAGCTGAACGCCTTGAGCAGAAATGCTGTCTTTCAGTCTGTGAGATTGATTTTAACACTGGTTCAGTCTAACTTGAAGGCCAGCCTCGTCTGGAGGGACACGTTTCCATGGTAATTCAGGGTAGACTTCGAATGGATCAGGCTTCCAGTCCATTATGAGGTGGACATATGTTAACGGACAAATACACTCAGACTTCTTTTACTATTTAATGATTTTAATTCACCTGGGCTTCATGTTTTTTTGACTCAGAGAGGAAACCTGAGGAAGTTTTACACCTATTTCTATCAAGTGGCTTTAGCTTTGATGATAGTTGCTAAGTTTCAGAGCACTAGTTGCTTATACCATCCTATCACAGTTGAGGAAAAATGTTCCAAGACAATGAGCCACAAAAATATCCATAAGGGACACTAAATGTATAAACCTTTTTATGAATCATGTGATGAAGATGTAGAATACCTACTGCCTGCTCCACCTGAGGGGACTGATGTTTTCCTTCAGTCCCAGCAGCAGAGCTGGGAGCTGAGCAGGATGAGTGGAGTGTGCAGCGGCGGCAGCCTCCAGCAGTGCTCAGTGGTTGCTGGATACTTGTGGCGTTTTCTCCTGCAGGGCTTCCCACTGGCTCAGGGGTCATTGACTCCGCAGCATTGACTGCAGCTCTTTCCACACCACATTGGCCAGCTCCACTCCACTAGGCCTGCTCTCCACTGTGCAACATGTGCACACAAGAACACTTCACAAACACAAACACACATGCACGGACACGGGCATTCGGAGGCTGGAAAAAAACAAAGCAGTAGACATTAAGGAAGAAGGAAACACAAACAAATGCACCCAGCAGAAAGAATAAAGGGAGTGAGCAATGGAGGCACAGACATAAGGCAGTAACACACAGATACAGCAAACACACGCAAATGCACAGGCTTGTATGGATGGACCTTTCTGTACCTTTATTCATGCTATTACTCCAACCTTTAATCGTAACATTTTGTCGTTTTACTTATGTAAAGAGTTTTAATGGTTTTTTTTTGTTGTTGTCGTTGTTGTTTTTGTTTTTTTTATCACGTACAGGCCTGAACATTTTAACGGTTTGAAGAGAGGGCTGCACCAGAGTTTGTCTGATTGTGTGTGTTGTTAAGTTACAGTTCCTGTTGTGATGAAGCAGCGCGATAAATCACATGGTTGGTTTTCCAAGATCCAACACCCTGGATACATAAATAAAGGACCATCGAGAAACAGACTTGAACGAGGGACAAGCTGAAAGGAAGTTACCCTGCTCTTAACAGCAGATGTTGATACAGTTTCTCTTCTTTGTTTTATCTCATGAGTCCACACACCAGTAAATAGCATTAATTTCTGCAGTTGTGTTGTAACATCAGTAATATAATTATTTTTAATATAAGTCTTGCTTTTCACAAGAGACATGGCCAAATAAGATTATGTTTTGGCTTTTCTACACAATATTCAGTGTCTGTGAGGGTCTTGCCCTTGTATCCCATGATATTAAAAACTACAACTTACTCTAAAAGTAATAAAAATAAGACATAAACTAAGCCTTTTCAAACAAAAAACAAATATAAAATTCAACCTTTCAAATTAACCAAAACCAAACTTGTAATTTTTTGGCTTTTTTGTTTTTGATTTCAAGAAAATAAAAACTAATGAGAATTTTGAAACAATTAAACCTTGGTCTCATAATCAAGAGAATTGTCATGCACATTTACTAAGCACAACACAATGGTTCTCCCATCCAGTTTTTACAAATTTAAATCTTGGTTGTTGCACCAGTTTGGATCTTGTTGCTTATTTCTTCATTTTTATATATACTGTCTCAGGGTAATGTTTCTACAACCTTATTGGAAAGTATTAAAGGTATTTCAGTCAGGACCACTTTAGTCAAAATTAAATGTTTATTACAAGCCAACATTTTTACATTGGCGATATGGCTCTGTTCTGAGAGTTCCCTGCCCTTCCATGTGCTTGCATGGAATGCCACAGCTATAAGAGGGGAGAGCTCCTCCCCTCCCTTTCATGTGCATAAATGAAAAGCCAAGGCAGAGAAAGCAGCAGCAAATAAATAAAACTAAGATATATAAATTAGAATCCCCCCACAGAACAGAGCAAGTGTAACACTACTTTAACACTACTTTTGGGCTGTGTATATTTGCATCAGAAGAATGTGGTTCTTAAGGAGCCTGGGGTGTGGGTGAATGATACACAGACAAAAGATATGCTTTTGTTTTTATGTTTTGTATTGAAGCAATATTTTCAAAGACTGAACAACACAAAGAAATCAAAACAGTTATCGTAAATTAAAAATTGTTGAGATTTTGGCCAAGAGGAAAGGAAAATAAACTCGTAACTAATGCCAACCTAGTACCGGGGATCAATGAAAAAAAAAAACACACAATCCAAACTCGGATGTTCAACAACACCATAAAATCCAAAAGATTGTCCGTTCTGGGGTTAGCTTGCCATCTGGTTGAGTTGAATGTGGCAGCACTGATTGAATTATTGCTGTGATTTAGGCGGAGTTGATAATGGTGATCTATAATCCCTTACAAAAACCTGACCTTGATTTTCTTCCTTTTTATACTCCCTCTTTCTTTCACCGCCCAACAGCGAACACGGCATGAAACTCGAGGATTGCAGAGTTTTCTCTGTGAGACACCAGGGACCATGCTGCAGCCACAGTGGAGATGAAAAACGGGAGTGAACAGGTAAGCTCCCGAAGGAAGTTGAGGAGTTTGGACAATGACCAGAGGTTGCCCCATTGCAACAAAAGCTCTTAATTGTGGGTTACACAAACGTCGGTGACAATACATATGACACAGGTAACAGCAGACACAACATAAACAGGAGGAGATGGGGTGGAGGTGGGTTGCAGCAGGCAGAGTAGGCAGGAGAAGCAGTTTAAATAGGGTGCCATTTTGACATTTGCCAATAGAATGTGTAGAGGGTGATCAGCTGAGCTGTCAGCTGACTGAGGGCTGGCTTAAGATCAGCTGACTGTTAGCTTGACTTCATGTCCTGCCTGAACTACCGCTATGCTTCATTAGGGATGTACCTGTGTTGAGAGTAGCTGAGCTGGCCTGCCTCAGCTCCGTCTCTTGCCTGTTTGATGATCTATAGTAATTTAGGTTGAGAGTCAGGAATCCATGGAAGGAGACCACCAACTTTGGACTTCATCACACCTTTTCAGAAACCAATGGGTGGTGTCACTGAGACCACATCCATGTTTTACCCAGTATATGGTTACTACTTTCATTACACTGATGGTGTACTAAAACAAGATGAACGGGTCTTC